TGCAATTTTTTAAAGTATGCAAGAATAAGCATATACTCCAGTGCAAGTTTCACAGAAAATAAGTTTTCCAAAAAGGAATGAATTAGTCGCATTGGTATTAGCCTTCAAGAAGAAAGAAACAAAATAAAAGCTAAAGCAAATCAAAACAATGAAATTTTACAAGGAAGAATGAATTAGCAACATTGGTATTACCCATAAAAAGAAAGAAAAAATAAGAATAAATAAATAAATGACACAATTTAGACAAAAAAATCATTTTTTAAAAGTATGCAAGAATAAGCATATACTCCAGTGGAAGTTTCACAGAAAATAAGTTTTCCAAAAGGAATGAATTAGTCACATTGGTATTAGCCTTCAAGAAGAAAGAAATGAAATAAAAGCTAAATCAAAATCAAAATAATGAAATTTTACAAGGAAGAATGAATTAGCAGCATTGGGATTACCCTTAAAAAGAAAGAAAAAAATAAGAATAAATAAATGAATGACACAATTTAGACAAAAAATGCATTTTTTTAAAATATGCAAGAATAAGCATATACTCCAGTGGAAGTTTCACAGAAAATAAGTTTTCCAAAAAGGAATGAATTAGTCGCATTGGTATTAGCCTTCAAGAAGAAATAAACGAAATAAAAGCTAAAGCAAAATCAAAATAATGAAATTTTACAAGAAAGAATGAATTAGCAGCATTGGTATTACCCTTAAAATGAAAGAAAAAATAAGAATAAATAAATAAATGACACAATTTAGACAAAACTGCATTTTTTAAAGTATGCAAGAATAAGCATATACTCCAGTGGAAGTTTCACAGAAAATAAGTTTTCCAAAAAGGAATGAATTAGTCGCATTGGTATTAGCCTTCAACAAGAAAGAAATGAAATAAAAGCTAAAGCAAAATCAAAATAATGAAATTTTACAAGGAAGAATGAATTAGTAGCATTGGTATTGCCTTTAAAAAGAAATAAAAACAAGAATAAATAAATAAATGACACAATTTAGACAAAAATTGCAATTTTTTTAAAGTATGCAAGAATAAGCATATACACAAGTGGAAGTTACACAGAAAATAAGTTTTCCAAAAAGGAATGAATTAGTCGCATTGGTATTAGCCTTCAAGAAGAAAGAAACAAAATAAAAGCTAAAGCAAAATCAAAATAATGAAATTTTACAAGGAAGAATGAATTAGCAGCATTGTTGTTACCCTTAAAAAGAAAGAAAAAAATAAGAATAAATAAATAAATGACACAATTTAGACAAAAAACGCAATTTTTTAAAGTATGCAAAAATAAGTATATACTCCAGTGCAAGTTTCACAGAAAATAAGTTTTCCAAAAAGGAATGAATTAGTCGCATTGGTATTAGCCTTCAAGAAGAAAGAAACGAAATAAAAGCTAAGGCATAATCAAAATAATGAAATTTTACAAGGAAGAATGAATTAGCAACATTGGTATTACCCTTAAAAAGAAAGACAAAATAAATAAAAAACACAATTTAGACAAAAAAAATTCATTTTTTAAAAGTATGCAAGAATAAGTATATACTCCAGTGGAAATTTCACAGAAAATAAGTTTTCCAAAAAGGAATGAATTAGTCGCATTGGTATTAGCCTTCAAGAAGAAAGAAACGAAATAAAAGCTAAATCAAAATCAAAATAATGAAATTTTACAAGGAAGAATGAATTATCAGCATTGGTATTACCCTTAAAAAGAAAGAAAAATAAGAATAAATAAATAAATGACACAATTTAGACAAAAAATGCAATTTTTTAAAATATGCAAGAATAAGCATATACTCCAGTGGAAGTTTCACAGAAAATAAGTTCCAAAAAGGAATGAATTAGTCGCATTGGTATTAGCCTTCAAGAAGAAAGAAACAAAATAAAAGCTAAAGCAAAATCAAAATAATGAAATTTTACAAGGAAGAATGAATTAGCAGCATTGGTATTACCCTTAAAAAGAAAGAAAAATAAGAATAAGTAAATAAATGACACAAATTAGATAATGATTGCAATTTTTTAAAGTATGCAAGAATAAGCATATACTCAAGTGGAAGTTACACAGAAAATAAGTTTTCCAAAAATGAATGAATTAGTCGCATTGGTATTAGCCTTCAAGAAGAAAGAAACGAAATAAAAGCTAAAGCAAAATCAAAATAATGAAATTTTACAAGGAAGAATGAATTAGCAGCATTGGTGCTACCCTTAAAAAGAAAGAAAAAATAAGAATAAATAAATAAATGACACAATTTAGACAAAAAAATGCAATTTTTTAAAGTATGCAAGAATAAGCATATACTCGAGTGGAAGTTTCACAGAAAATAAGTTTTCCAAAAAGGAATGAATTAGTCGCATTGGTATTAGCCTTCAAGGAGAAATAAACGAAATAAAAGCTAAAGCAAAATAAAAATAATGAAATTTTACAAGGAAGAATGAATTAGTGGCACGGGTATTACCCTTGGAAGAAGAAAGAAAATAAAAAACTAAAAAATAAGTATTATAAGGAAGAATGAATGTGTGGCATTCATATTACCCTTGAAGAAGAAAGAAAATGAAAAAACTAAATAAATTCAAAATACTGAAGTTTTAGATGGAAGAATGAATTAGTTGTATTGATATTACCTTAAAAAATAAAATTAAATTAAAACTATAAAAGTTCAAAATAATGAAGTTTTCGAAGGAAGAATGTATTAGTACCATTAGTATTATCCTATAAGAAGAAAATTTTAGAAAATGAAACAAATAATTGCAAAATTTGCACATAATTTGTGTTTTTTCATAATATGCAAGGATAAGCATATCATAGTGAATTCTTTTTGTAAAAAACAAGTTTCTTAAGAAGGAATGAGTTAGTGACATTAGCATTTTACCTTTACAGAATAAAGAAAATATAACAAAAACAAATACAAAATCAAAATAATGAAGTTTTCTATGCAAGAATGAATTAGTGGCAATGGTATTAGCCTTTAAGAAGAAATAACATGAAAAACATGAAACAAATAATGAAAAAGTTTGCACTTTATCATAATATGCAACTATAAGCATATAATAATGAAAGTTTTGCAAATAAGAAGTTCCTAAGAAGGAATAAGTTAGTGGCGTTGGTAGTTTACCCTAAAAAAGAAAAGAAATAAAATAAAACTACAAAAATTAAGATAATGAATTTTCTAAGGAAGAATGAACTAGTGGCATTGATATTAACATTTAACAAGAAATCAAAATAAAATAGTTGCACAAGACTTTGCACTTGAATTGCACTTTTTAGATATGCCATTTTTAATGAACATATAATAGTGCATTTTCACACTGTAGTGTAATTTACAAACATACTCTACAGTTGTTGTGCGTATACATTTTCACTCATCTAATATGCAAAAATTATTCGTGAAAAATCGACTAAAAAAGAAAAAGAAAAGGAAAAGCAAAAAACACATGAAAAGGCATTGTGTAACCGGCTTCAAGCCTAATAGGAAAATTGACTTACCCCGAACAAGGGCAAATCAAAAAACCGGCCTAAGAAAAAAATGACTTACCCTCGTGGGGCAAGTAAAAAAACTCAGCCTAAAAGAGAGTTTGAAAGCCCACTGCAGAAAGGGTTTTGACCAGCTAGTTAGATTGCCCTGTGTAGCTATTCCTGAACCAACTTTCTCCCTAAGAAAGCTTTCTTGAGATCCATTTTCTTCATTTTCTTGAACAATGTGAATCTACCTCACTCCTCATCATAACTCAAATACAAATTCAAGTTTCAAATTGATATTTCCTCACGTATCGGCTTGATCCCCAAAAGGAAATCGCAATCCAAAATCCTTATATACGATGTTGAAATATATTGCGCACCTCACTCCAACTGTTCGTACTTTTGAAACAGCTGGCCGGAGCATGAATTCAATATGGTATCCGAGCCAAGAGGTCTCCAACAGTTCATACTTTTGAAACAACTGGCAGAAGCATGAATTCAATATACGATATGCGAAAAAATTAAGGTACGAAAAACAGGGTAAGTAGAAAATCAGTAAACACACCCAAGAAAAAAAAACCCGCACAAATCTTGATAAAAAAATCAACAATAAAAAAATTGACTTACCCAAATTTATAATTCAGATGACTTATATATAGCTAAAGTGATAAAGATACATGCCTTACAGCATGAGGTTTTCTTTTTTTAAACTCAACACACGCTTCATTTTATTGCTCAATAAAATTTAGAGGAATACAGTCGATAGGGATTGCAAGAGGAAAAGATGGCGCCCTAGAGATGGAACCTCGTGTTGTAAGATTACGCAACGCATGCAACTACGCTACAATCTTGTGTCATTGTAGTCAGATCTTCCTGTGCTCCAATAATGGTAGTGTAGTCGCATGCATGCGTTGCTTGATCCAGTTATTTTGGGATCTGTGTTATGTGAGGGCTACTTTATCACATTGTATCGTTCAGTTGTGTACCTTATTTGTTTATTGTTTATATATAAAACAGGGTGAAAGTCTGTTTTGAAAGAGACAAGAAATCACATGTTTAGCAAGGCAAATAGACAGAGCTTCAATCTGGCTCCGGTTCTGGAGTATTATCAGTTTGATCCAGACATTTAGGGTTGGAATAGTTGGAGATACCCTAAGCCTAGAGCGCCCGTTGTTTATTGTCTTTCCACGTCAGGCCCGTGACTCTGTGTGCCCTCGATAGAACCTACTACATCAATAATGGTCTAAACAAATACTCCCTCCGTTTCAAATTACTCGTCACAGAAATGGATGTATCTAGAATACATCTAGATACATCTATTTCTGCGACATCGCAGAAATGGATGTATCTAGAATACATTTAGATACATCCATTTCTGCGATGAGTAATTCAGAACGGAGGGAGTACGTACTAGATCAACCATGATGCACACACAAACTTTGTTTACTCACGAGGACAAGATAACATGATCACACAAAACAAAAGATACTAATCCATCACAATAGAGGGAAGAAATTACAACGCAAAATACTACCCCATGGCCGCCCAGCTTCATCGGTGCCCACCCTTTGGCGCCGCAGCCGCCGGAGAAGACGCGAATGGATGCACCCTCCCTGCGGTCCATGAGTTGCAAGCTGCCTTCTTCTCCTCTTCACCCATAGAGCCCTTCTTCCTCTGCCCTTCTTCGCCAGCCATGAATTTGCTCATCGTGGTCGTTGCCGCGGCCTTCTCGCCGTCGCTGATCTTCCTCCTCAGTCTCTCTTGCTTCACGTGTACCTGTGCATAGCTAAACCCTATGGAAGACATGTTGACTACTAGAGAAGACGTTGGCTAGAAGGATGAAGGCTTGAGTTAATGTGAGTGGTACGTTTGGGTGTGCATACGTGCGTGTATTTATAGGCGCCAGATGGAATTATTGGGGTGGGAACCTGTCAGGACCCCGACTCAATGCCACATCGATCTAGCATGTAACACCTCATATCACTTTGCGGCCTCACGCACGGTATCCCCACGGGTGTCGCCTTACCTTTGCCCGGGACCGTTTGCGCCTTTTGGCACACGTATATGATGGTGTCGCTAGCATCCATATGATAAAGAGCCCGGGCTGACATGGCTAGTCGTAAACCCAAAGTGGCACTAACTTACGGGGACAGGCATCCATGACCCAGCATCGAACGTGTCGGTCATCAGCGAGTGAATCCAGGCTGTAGCACTGGGCTAACAGGACTCCGGTGAACCGGGCTGTAGCAGGCTAACAGGACTCCGGTATTCATCGTGTGACATTTCCCGAAGGGACAGACACAGGATCGAAGAAGGACACATGCCGGCCAGCCTAAGTGTTCCGGAGCAGTAGCAAGCTACCAGGGCTCAGTGGAAGCACTAGGAGACATTTCCCGGTAAGAGAGGCTACTAAGAATAAACAACTAGATAGTCCCACACATAGCAATACACATTACACGTACGCATAACATGCAAGTATGTGCTGTACAACATGGCATCACAGCATAACTCAACAACTCAAATAGATAAAGGCTCAGAAGAGCCATCATAGCATTTATTGCAAACAGGGGTCACAAGACCCATCATACAGAGCATACAAGCAACAAGCGGAAGCATTACATGTCTGGGTACAGACATCTATAAATGAAAAAGGCTGAAAGCCTGACTATCTACAACGCCCGATCAAGATCGTAGCTGAGGTACAAGCTACTCGTCGAAGTCCATGAGAACACTAGTAAGACCGAAGTCTCCGCTGCAAAAACATAAATGAAGAAACATGAGTACAAAGGTACTCAGCAAGACTTACATCAGATCCTAGCATACATGCATTTGTATCAAGAGGGTACTGTGGGGTTTAGTTGCAGCAAGCCAGCTTTGACTCTGTGGCTATCCTGTTCTACGACTACCAGAAACTCTTGAGGTGAGACAACGTACACGAGTCCACTAATCACCACACAATACACTACTATGGATTCATCCCCGTCTCCCTACGAGAAGGCCATCCATAGCACTCACACTTGTCTTGAGCATTTTAGAGTATCCACTTCAAGTTGTCTATGTACCATGTAAGCATCCAAGAAGTCCATAACCGCGGACCCGGCTATTCGAATAGATCATGGTAACCCTGTAGGGGTGTACTTCTTCACACACGCTCTCGCCACTTACCGCCATGTACACGTCATGTATCTCGGCAACCTTCAAGCGGAAGCCTGGCGAGGGTGTCGGCCACGACCTGACTAACCACACAAGACTCTAGCCCAGGTTTATCGCCTATTCGGGTTCCATCCGCAAGGAGATCCGGCCGGGGTGTCGCTCACGGCCCCAAACGATGTGAGCAGGGTTCCCGAGCCCACCAACCGGGTGCCACTCGGTACACCGGGCCACGTGTGCCTAGTCTGTCCCAAGCCCACCCTGCCGGGTGCCACTTGGTAGAAAAATAGCACTACCTACAAACACCAGAAACTAGTTGCGACTCCTGGACAGAGATCAAGTTGGTTAATAAGCCGAGAGGGGTCGAGTTACCGGAACCCAATGTGTGGTAGTATCGAGTCATTGGACAACATACATAGAACTCAGTGCTTAAGGACGGTTCCAGTGAGACAACCCACCATGTACTCCTACATGGCCTCTCACGCTACCTTTACCAAATCGTGTTCACACACTTAACTCTCAGCATCAGAACATATCGTAACACTCCAATTCATTCCCAATGAATCAGACCTGACACAACTCTAAGCAATAGCAGGCATAGCATGGTAGGAACACAACATGGCTCAATCAACTCCTACACATGCTAGTGGGTTTCAACTATTTACTGTGGCAATGACATGTCATGCAGAGGAATGGGTTCAACTACCGCAGCACAAAGTAGCAGATGAATCGTTGTTGTCCTAATGCAATAACTGAGAGCAGGAGCGAGAGAGTAGGGTTTTATCGAAATGAACAAGGGGGTTTGCTTGCCTGGTAAATCAACAGAGGAGGCACTGCTTCACAGACAGGTACTCTGGAACAGCTCCGGAGCAGGACCTATCGAGAAGGAACGGTGCCGGCAATCAATACACAAACATATGCAACAATATGATGCATGAACATGGCATGAAGATGTGATGTTGTTTGAGCTAATGCAACTAGTAATCATTTGGTTTGAAGTCCATTTGAACCATAAGCCCAAATGCAATTCTAAATTAAGTCTCTTATATATGCCATAATGTGTTTTCTCATATTCAGCATGTATAAGTTGGTTTGTCATGCATGAAACTAGTACAGATGGAAAGATTGCATTTTTCTGATAATTTTTCATATATAAATTATTTTAATCTGAGCTACGGTTGAATTGATATGAATTTTTGAAGTTTAAATCAATTTCTGGAATTTCCTGATTTAATTTAATCCCAAAAATCATATTATTGCGCCAGCATGACGTCAGCATGACGTCAGCAGTCAACTGCGGCTGATGGGGTCAAACCTGACGTGTGGGGTCCACACGTCAGTGACAGGGGGTTAAACAGGGGGTTAATTTAATCCTAATTAAAAGTTAGTGGCGCTGGGGCCCACTATCAGCCTCAGGGGGGGTTAATTAAGCGGTGATTAGCACTAAGCTAATCACTTGATGGGCCGGGCCCACATGGCGGGGCTTAGGCGACGGGGCTCGCCGCCGGCGACCTCTGGACGCGGCGGAGTCCGCGCCACAGGCCACGGGGACGGCGTCTGAGAGCACCGGGGCGTAGCCCGGGCTCTCGCGCATCTGGAGGGGCAGGTGGGAGGAGCTGGGGAGGCCGGAGCTCGCCGGAGCAAAGCTCGCGGCGGCGGCCGGAGCTCGGCTTCGAGCGGGAACGGGCCGCGGGGCACGGGGAGGCCACCTGAGGGGCTCGGCGGCACCCTCGTGGCACTGGGAGCGCGATGGGATGCTCGGTTTGGGCGGAGGCAGGCCGAGACGGCGACGGCGACATGGACGGCGGCGAGAGGCTTCGGCCGTGGTGGGGAACGATGCTACGGCGCGGAAACGAGGGGGAGAAGAGAGGAAACGGTGGCGGAGCTCACCGCGGATACAACGGCATCGTCGGCGAGCTCGGGGAAGGCTTGGGGCAGCCGGAGCGACGACGGCGATCTCGTCGGCCGGAGCTTGAAGACGACGGCGATTGCGATGAAGCGGAGCTCGCCCGGGTTGCTTGCTCGGTGAGGAGGGAGAGGGGGTCGCGGCGGAGCTCGGGAACTCTACGGAGGGGCGAGGGGACGGCGGGGAGCGCGTCGGTGGTGAGCTGCGGCGGCGGCAGTGCTTCGGGTGAGAGAGAGAGAGAGAGCAGGGGGAGAGAAGGAGGGTGAGGGAGAGTGCGAGAGAGGTCGGGGTGGCTGCGTGGCGTCGTCCGGGCGTTCCAGGGCGACGAGGAGGGCGCCAGGCAAGCAGGAAGACTGGTGGCGTGGCGCGGTGGCGCGCGCGCGCGCCGGGCACGCTCCCCTCCCTCTGTCGAGGACGAAGACGACAGAGGAGGAGGCGGGCTGGGCCGCGTGCTGGCTGGGCCGGCCTGCTGCTGCTGGGCTGCACAGGAGGGAGGCCCAGGTAAGTCTCCCTCTTTTATTTTTGTTTTTCGATTTTTCTGACATTTGTTTTGATTTAATTAAAATATTAAATCATTTAATTACCTTATGCCAATTTTTGCAGGAGCTAACTATATTATTCCAGAGCTCCCCAACAGGTGGCATAATTTTTGGACATATATTAATATATATAACTAATATATTTCCAATGCAAATATTTATCGGATTAATCCAAATGGCCAAAATAAATATCCATGAGCTCCTAAAAATATTGGTTTGATTTTTATCTCTGTCCAATATTTTCAGAGGGCAACATGAGCATTTTCTTGGACCCTTTTGGAGAAATTTTTATTTGGGTCATTTTCAAAAATGATTCTGAGGGTTCCACCAATCCTCATTTCAAATTTAAATGAAATTTAAATATGATGCACAAATGGCTAGCTAGTCTAGGTCATACCAGACTAGGGATGTGACAACTCGCCCCCACTTGAAAGAATCTCGCCCCGAGATTCAGGGGTCAACGGAAAGAAAGCGGGGTACTCCAGTCGAAGACGATCTTCTCGCTCCCAAGTAGCTTCTCTCTCGGAATGATGAGACCACTGAACTTTGAGAAACTTGACATTCTGACGTCGGGTAACACGCTCGGCTTGATCAAGAATGCGAAACGGGTACTCTCGGTATGTGAGATTATCTTGGAGATCAAGCGTTTCGTGGTCCACTCCGCGGATGGGATCCGAGAAGCAACGCCTGAGTTGAGAGACGTGGAAGACATCATGAACTCGAGAAAGATGTGGGGGTAGTTCCAATTGGTAGGCAACCTCTCCTCGTTTAGCGAGAATGCAAAAAGGACCAATGTAACGAGGAGCCAACTTGCCCTTGATACCGAAACGATGGGTACCCTTCAAGGGAGTAACCCAAAGGTAGGCCTTTTCGCCAACTTCATAAGTCATATCCTTATGATGACGATTGTACTGGCTCTTTTGACGAGACTGGGCTGTTTTCAAATTCTCACGAATGATGCGAACTTGCTCTTCTGCCTCCTGGATCATGTCCGGTCCAAAGAATTGTCTTTCACCGGTGTCTGACCAGTTCAAAGGTGTTCGACATCTTCGTCCATAGAGAACCTCAAAAGGAGCTTTCTTGAGGCTGGATTGGTAGCTATTGTTATAAGCAAACTCGGCGAAAGGAAGACATTTCTCCCAATCCATACCGAATGAGATAACGCAAGCTCTGAGCATGTCTTCGAGAATTTGATTGACCCGTTCCACCTG